TATATTATAATCTACTTAATATATATATATATATATATATATATATATATAAAATTTAAATAAAATTCTATTATTATTAATATTTTGAATTCAAAAAAGTTATATTATAACTTTTGAAAGTTAATAGTTATCAATTTGGAAAACTATTTCGTTAAATTGCAAAAAGAGGAAAGTGGAAATCGACTTTCAAAAACCCAAAAATCACCTCTGCTTCCTTTCACTCAATCCAATTAAACGAATTGAAGTGGCCGATGTAGAGGGATGTCAATTTTTATCGACGTCACGTATTTTTGGATGATATTCGAATGAACAACGGTCGTTTTGAGAATTGCGGTCGGTCGATTGGATCGAATAAAGCTGTTATTATTGGTAAAGACTGACTTCGCTCGGCGTCGAACGCAGGCGAGCGCGACGTCGAAAGGGAAAATGCGACTTCCGCTTTTCACATAAATCATAAGTTCGTTTATTTCGTTTCTGTGCGCAGGACGGTACGAGCTAACATGTTTATCGTCGAGAACACGTGTTTCTACAGACGTGACAGGAGATTACGGCATCGCATTGCAAAAAAAGGTAAAGCTCAGCTCGTTATTTTCGTTGCTCAACTTACACGGTAAGTATCAATTTAAAGATCGATTGTGACAAATCCCCGATATAATAATGGCTTACGAATGATAATGACAGCGATCAGACGAGAGAAAGCAATAGATATAAAGTATATCCCAAAATTAAAAAATTAAAAAATAATATACCTGATAAATTCGGAATGACTTATTTCGTCAGAGTAAAATACATAAGTCAAGTAAGATATATATTACGTGATCAAACTGTTTCCTTTACTATCAAAAGAAATGTTAGTATCGAAAGAACTCTGAATCAAATTTATAAGTAAACTATATTACAATTAAATATATATTATTAAAATGCAAAATTTTATACATCTATGCTAATTACACAGAGAGACCGATTTCTTTGGATTTAATAAGTTTTATTAGATTCAAAGAAATTTAGAAATTTATTTTTGAAATAGTCCAAACAAACCAATTATTCAGCAAATTCGATTGTTTGATTTTTTTCAAATAATAAACAGC